TTCATGCGTTGTCAAACACAACCAGAGCACGTGTAAATGCATAAAAGGAGAGGGCGTGAAAATGCTTTCACGACACTTTCGGTACAAAATTTTCTGTGTGTCAGATATACCTAATCAAAGCTTGTTTAAAATTAAAAAGATATCGAAGAGGTAAAGGTAAAACTATCCTTGTAACAGGCCTTAGGCCACATAGGGTTGCGAAACGTCGAGGCTTCCACATTTTGTAGACAGTCGGCTCACAGATGGCGGTGCGACTGTTAGCCTTACACACGGGCCAGCCGCTTTTTACCACCAGGAAGATACCTGGTACTCATTTCTGCTATAGGCTGAGTCGACCCCTAGGCCATATTGCAGCTGGAGAGATTAGGTCAATTGAAAAATCCAGTGACAGGGAATCGAACCCGCGACCCTCTGGCTTATAGCATAATACCTCAACTACGCTAATTATATTCGCGAAAAACATCTCCGTATCTTACTCGTGTTCATAACAGCTTGCACGAAAACACGTAGTATGAGACAAACAGCTGATCGCCATTGAGAAAGGAGTGCGCGAAATCTAGTCACAGACTACAAAATGTAAACAACCGCGTATTTCAAATAACCATTTATCTCTTTTGCAATTTGCAGAAGTATCTAATTCTGTCGGTTATATAACGGCAGTTTTTAATTTTTGTTCATAAGGTAAACGTATGTAATTTTCGCGCTAGGAAATCGTTATTTGTTGGTGTAATGAAGATCCGACATATCCTCCCATCTGCGTCTAGGTTTCCCGTGCAATACTCCTCCTTCACGTTCTGTAAGCTATGGAAGATCGTACAGCCAACCGCGGTGTTCCTGCAGAGGCTGCAGAGGACCTGAGGTGAATTAGCCACCAAGGTGCTGCTGCCACGGGCGTAATGTTTGGAACCTCTCACCACGAAGTCTGGAGTGCACGTGAGAATTTCGTACAAACTGGTCATCAATCATCATTATCCAGATCATTAAGTTGTAAGGCTGATGATCGTGCAGAGCCAAGGAACGTTATCATTACAGGCTGTAGATTTACCGGCCAGAGACGGGCAGTGATGAATGGATGAGACAAGGAAGGGAAGGGGGAGGGGACTTCTTTTTATATTCCCAGTCATACAAAGCTTTGCCCCGCCACCTCGAGGCTTCAGTGCCTTTACACAAACACTGTTTAATCGTAAATGGTAAACTTGTCCTTGTGCTTAACTAATCAAGCGTATGGAGGAGTGGAGGCATGGTTCCACCATTTCGGAGGTGAGTGCTCAGCTTCACACCCCCGGTACCCATTGTGTGGGAGGCTGGGTGAACCCCAGAGCCTGCCTGGACGATGTGGAGAAGAGAAAATTGTTGACCATACCGGGACTCGAACTCCGACCCCTTGGACATCCAACCCGTAGCCAGTCGCTATACCGACTGCGCTATCCCGGCTCCCTACTGTTGAATGGTGAACATGGAAAATACATCTAATGATTCCATGCAGCGGAATCCTTGAGAACCTACTGGTTGCTCAGCTGGCCAGTAAATTCCATGCATCATATGGGGACAGAAGGATCACTATCTTGGGCCATATGAATCCAGTCCACACCTTCCAGCCAATGTTTTTAAAGAGTTCAGTTTAGTAATTATCCTTCTGCCTAAGACTGTCTTCCGAATGAATTGCTCTGTTCGTTCAGGTTTTCTATTAAAACTTTGAATGTACGTCTCTCTTCTCCGGTGCGTTCTACATTACCCACCAATCTCATCCTCCTTACGTCTATACTAAAAGTAAGTTTTAAGTTAAACTCCACACCTCAAAGACGTATGGGGGAGTACAGGAATATCTCCACTATTCACACCTCAAAGACGTATGGGGGAGTACAGGAATATCTCCACTATTGTTGGCCTCGGCACTAGATGGAGCTGAACCCTTCTTGAGAAGCCGCCAGTTGTGCAGCTGCTCAAGAATTTCCCAATACTGTATGCAACTCGAAGGTTCATTACCGTGTTCACTACAGCCCTCCAATGGTCCCTATCCTGAACCAGACCAATCCAATCCGTATCATCCCATCCTACCTCTAGGATTCATTTTAATATTACCCACCTACGTCTTGGTCTTAGGAGTCTGAAACTTTTCGCTGAGGTGAAAATTCAGGCCGTGACACCGTGTAGTTTAGAATTTGGTTATTGTGGTTTTCATGAGGCCTGCCGTCTTCTTCAGTGTGGGAGATGAGGACGTCAGTTTCTCTCTGTAAGACTACGGGATCATAACGCAATAGATCACAATGGAAACACAGAGTCGAAGTGGTGCCAAGTCAGTGTACTCTAAATATACATGTGTATCCTCTTGTGTTTCCATGTCCGGTATGGTCTAGTGGTTAGGATACCTGGCTCTCACCCAGGAGGCTCGGGTTCGATTCCCGGTACCGGAATGTTTTCTTTTTTCCTCAGATTACAGTTTATTTACAACTTCATGCGTTGCTTCATTTCAAAATGTTTAATTCACTCGTGATATATCGCATGCATTATTAAAATATCGACGTTTTGTCTGTGATAAGAGTGGAGACAGGCGTTATTTATAAACGAATCAGTAAGCGTAAGCACAGCATGACAATCTGACGGCTTTAATTAACGTTTATTTAATTATCCTGAAGACCGCAACACCTACGCAAAACTGTACTGGGAAAGAAATATGTATTCAGTTTTCTCTACAATTTCTGTTCGAAATGCGCGCGCAGAAACACAGTCACCACGTATTTAAGCACAATAGCCCACTGCAGGTCGCAGTGCAAGGGCCGAGGAGGCCTACCCCTCATACATACCACGTATTTCCTCAATATGACAACTCAGGAACTACCAAATAAATATCCACAATGGAGAGACGTTCAGTGCGGCAGCTCGGCTGGTACAGAAGTTCCCTGATTTCCACACTGAAGGTTCATTACCACGAGCAGGACTGTGCTATAAATAATGCATAAAAAAGATTACGGTTTTCTGGGGAGTGACCCTGTCCAGTCTGGTACACATGTACCAGCATACGGAGGAAGCTACCGAAATGTCGGTGCCTATCTACGTCACACCTCAAAATCGACATGAGAACCTCAGATCTCACAAACTGTATAAGGGTCTCCAAAGTACATACAGGGAGAAAAAGCCCAAGTGAAATTGGCGTATTTGTTTTTTCACTTTCATCGTATGGGCCTCTTAGACAGGCAGTCTGCGCATGTGTAGAACATAATACAAATGGAAGAGATAGTATTATCACGTGTATGAGTGACTATAGACGGGGTTTGGATCGGAGATGGCATTTTTTGACCACTTACAGGTCGTAACTTCAAACAACTACAACACTATCGCTATTTCCACTCTTTACAGTTCACTACAGTCTAGTGTTCTCAGTCTGCTATTAGACGTTTCCTGGTATCGACTCCAACAATGGCTATTCTTCTGCCTCCGGACTCAAGTCCTCTCTTCACAGACTCCGGTACATAATTAACTGCGTCTAACCTTGTCCCTTGCTTACAATATATCGGCACGGACCACATAGAAAACATAGCTCTTCTATTGTTGCGTTCGTGTCTGTTTAGCGACCCGTCGTCCAGAATCGGTCCTGGTATATCCCTCCATCTCGCGGTCGTTGCATGGCAACAGTTCTGCACACTACAATATTATCCATTTTAATTGATTGGAAATCACTTTCGGAACTGTCGTTTAG